CGTCTTAATTTCAGATAATGACACTGTGTCCTGGAGGTGTCACTTCCTCTATTTCCTCCTTGTGCCCTTGTTAACACTTTGTCTCTCCTCTGCTCCTCCTCGCCTCCTCCTCTACTCCCTAAAGGCTTCACTATCTCCTCTCCCGAGCAGCAATTCTTCTCCTTGAAATTACATTTCTCCCTGCTGGTTGATTTATCGTGACACGTTTCCTCTGCCCACTACACTGCTGCAGAGCTGTAACAAAACATGTGCTCGGTTAAACTCTCGTGTACCTTCAACTAAATGATGTCAGTGTTTGGTTTAAGTGTTTTCCTGCCCAGTAAAGCATGATCTTGTTTCTGTACCCTGCTGTTTGTAGAGAAGCACTGAGAAGCACTTATTTTACAGCTTTAGTTGCTTTCCAATAATGTTTTGCAATGCAACTTTTACATAATGCATCTCTAAAGATTAAACCCAGAGAATAGCTGAGGTACAATACGTATATAACAAAAGGTGTACCCTAACCCTGACACTATACATGATTAATAAGTGTGTGACAACAGTTTGTTTGTCTAGAACAGCAAAAATATGAAAGAGGCCCTATTATGCTTTTTTGGTTTTGCCTGTCCTGTAGTGTGTTAGGTTTGAGTGCATGTAAATGGTCTGCAAAGGCTTAAATCTCCCTGACTAAAACTAATTTATTTTTGTATTTATTGTACAGGCTACAGACACAAAACATGGACATTACAATAACAAAATGAGACATTCCTATCTCAGACACACACAAAAAACAAAAAAAACAGAAAAAAAAATACAGTCAGTTGGTCACTTCAACATTTCATGAACAAAACTAAAAATAGGTTGACAGTCCAATATCATCAAAAGCATTTATTATTCCTTTTTATCCCACTCATCGCTAGAGCTGATTGTTTCCCATTTCATAGTGTGTTGAGCCACCCTTTGATTCTTTGTGGCAATCATCCTTTCCAAAATAAATTGTGTTTTTAATCTACTTTTCACACACCTTAAATTCAGATCTTTCCTTGATTGAGCTTAAGAAATAAGTATTTTTGCCAGAAGAATAATTGTATTCATCAACTGTGTATTGTCCTCATCCAAAAGCCCAAACAAAAGACCAAAGGGAGTAAATGCAAAATCAATATAAAGTGTCTTAAAGGTGGGGTAGGTAAGTTTGAGAAACCGGCTCGAGATCGCTAGAATTTGAAAATACACAACCGGAGAAAATCTGCCACTTCCTTATAGAGCCCCTCCTCCAACACACACGAACGCGCACATGACCAATGAGGGCACGAGATAAGTCTGTGCACAGATGGAAGGCTGACAGGCAGGTAGGCCATCCAGTTATTTTAGCCGGGCCGGCTCAGATGATTGGTCGTGCTTTTTACAGTACTACGGCTTCCACAGATGACATTTTTTTATGGATTTTTTGTCAAAGCACTTCAGATATTCATTGCTATCGGGATGTTAAGAGCATTCCATGGAATATAACAAAAAGTGTATCTCGAGCCGGTTTCTCAAACTTACCTACCCTACCTTTAAGCCAATTTTGAATCTCAGTCCACAGTCTTGCAACGTATGGACAATAAAAAAATAAATGCATCTGGTCTTCCTCTTCCTCCTCACAGAATCTACAAAGTGGTGATGGTTCGATATTAAAAGTGTAACAAAACATGTTACAGTAGAGGTAAAATATGCAAATATGAAACCTGAAAATGAGCATACAGTAAGCCCAATAATAATGTCATATATATATATAATAGTAAATAACATATATCAGGCTATTTCTTTGCAGAATGAGTAATTAATTTGGTACATTTTACTGATGGTTCTTTACACTTATTCCACCCCTGAATGTAAGTCAGAACAGAAAAACGATTTTGGGGAAAAAGCTGGGGGAAAAAAACCCTGCCTCTTCCTGACAGTTATTTAAAAAAATGAATTTGGAACAGTGACAAGGTAGTGATGGTAAAGCAGCTTGGTGTGTGTGTGTGTGTGTGTGTGTGTGTGTGTGCGTGCGCGCGTGTGTGTGTGTGTGTGTGTGTGTGTGTGTGTGTGTGTGTGTGTGTGTGTGTGTGTGTGTGTGTGTGTGTGTGTGTGTGTGTGTGTGTGTGTGTGTGTGTGTGTGTGTGTGTGTGTGTGTGTGTGTAAAGAAAGAAAGGCTGTGCTCTAAATGAAGTACACAGATTCGAAATAATTTGTGTTGATGGTGCAACCACAAATTTAAGCCCAGCAGTAGCTTAAACTCACACAGACAGACACTAAATAATCCTCCTCTGCTGCTTTAATTAGTTTGGTTTGAATAACAAAAGTCATGAAGCAGAACTGACAATAGCTGTGGGAATAGGATGCCAAGAAAAAAATAATAAATGGGACATAGACCAAAGAAAAAAGAAAAAAGGTGACAGTCTGTTGGAGCAACAGCGGGGCATCTGGTGTGTGTGTGTGTGTGTGTGTGTGTGTGTGTGGTGTGTGTGTGTGTGTGTGTGTGTGTGTGTGTGTGTGTGTGTGTGTGTGTGTGTGTGTGTGTGTGTGTGTGTGTGTGTGTGTGTGTGTGTGTGTAGGTGATATTGTAGCAGCTGCTCTACTAACAAACAGAATACTAATAACTCTCAACACAGACACTGTTCTGATTAATGCCGAGTCACACTTTGTGTAGACTTCCATTACTCTCATTTATCTATTACATTTTAAAGAGACAGACAGTAAAACATACCAGAGCTCTGTTTATCTGATCCAAGGTGGCATCTCATCAATGGTTGGGATATTCCTGATATTTCCCCATCTGAGTTGTCCTGATCTTGAATCACACATTCCAATCTGTCTGCTAGATTTCTACAATCTGTTCTTTCTGTCTTCTTACGAATTGCTCCTATAAAACACCCAGAAAGCAGCGAGGAGGCCAAAGTGTGTGATCATCTACAAGCTGACGGACATAATGAACACCCTTAAAAAGAAAGGTAAGTGCACCCTTTCATTTTCAATTTAAGGTTTCAGGTATTACTATAAGGACTATGGGTCCAACTGTCAAAAAGAAAGGAAAGTGCACCATTACACTTTACAATAAATTACATTTCATTAAGCTGACACTTTTATGTAAAGCGACTTACAATAAGTGATTTTAAAGTAGAAGAAAAACTCAAAAAGCAAAGATTCTGCATTAGCTTTCAATAAGTCTAACCATTGTGCTGCTGCATTGGTTTCAAAACAGCCAAACATTTCTAAGTGCTACATACAGAAGTTATTTAGATTGTATCCTTATTATCTTCTAATTGCTAGCTAAGGTTCAGTGTGTTTTCAGTCTGCGATGAAGGTTAGCAGCTCTTCTCTGTCCTGATATCAATGGGAAGCTTGTTCCACTATTTTGTTACACAGCTCTGTGTGTGTGTGTCTGTTTGTCCTGATATTATATTTGCCTTCCTCCATGTTCCCAGCCTTTTGCTTTAACACACACAAACATCAAAGCCTCATAAAAAAGGTTCACTGACAAGAAGTATTGTGTAAAAAACTGGCCTATAGCCTCAGGTTGAAGGATTCACTATAAGATAAAATGGTGTTAAAACCTTACTGCCTCATAGTGGTAATGTTGACCTTGTGTCTTTTATTAAGGTCTCACACACTGATAAGAGAGTTTCACACCCAACAGGATTTATTTTGTGCTACTCAGATTAAGTTAGAGGGTGGCATTACTGAAGAGAAGCCAGGAAAACGGATCAAAATGGGTTCATTCAATTAAGGAAGGTCCGTGGAGTTTGCCAAGACTTTAAGTGCTAAATCGACCTTGAGCTGTAAAGCAGGGAAAGTCTGACTTAAAGTGACTTATACTTGCTCTGCTGCCTGTCAATTAAACACAATGTTAGCAGCTCTGTCAGGTTGTACTTTTGCTCAGTGTTGCTTTGAGCTAAATGCTAACAACAAAGCTGACATGGTGATGGTTATCCAATATCAATTTTACTTTAGTGTGATGGCATGCAAACATGTGTACAGGAATTAGGTACAGCTATAACTTAGTCATAAACCAAAGTATTGGACAAATTTGTTCCCTAATAATGCAGTTTTGTGTTAGTTTTTTTTCAAAATGCACTCTTATTTGTTCATATAATTGCCCTTACTGTGTTTATGCACCTTTAAAGGTCACCTATCCTGCTATTTTTAGGCAATAGCATAGGTCTCAGATATATACAAATATATAAAAAACATGTCTATGAAGTGTTTTTCTCAAAATACCAAACAGATCACCCATTCTAGCCGTGCCTCATATCCCTCTATTTCACTTCCTGTTTCAAAAGTGCTGATTTGGGGTATAAAGCTTTTTTTTAAATAAAAAAGGAGGGGTCTGAGCTCATGCGGGACCCGGCAGCTACTGTCTAAACTAAATACTGCCGTGATGAAACGCCATATCATGGATTGTTTCTGAAACAGTATGGAGCTCAAAGGCTTTCTCTCTTGCCGGTTATATCACAAGGTGAGTTCCTTTTATTTCCTGCTTCTTCACACACATGCTCTCCAGTACAGGTTAGCTCTGAGTGTTAGCGATGCTAATGTAAACACCGACCATATTACGTCCAAAACAGTCGGGCATTGTTTCTGATAGCAACGTTTCTGATAGTGCCGTGGGTCCACATTTCCGATATTACGTCATATCGGACGCAAATCTGGATCAGCTCCGTTGTAGCCCCGTTTTTAGAGATTTGGGTACGGAGGAAAAGAGAGAGGGTTTTATTTTCTGACGCTGCGTGAGTTCCCTGACACACCGGGGACACATAGTTATGTATAAAAGACATCAAAAAGTGCATTTTGCATGATAGGTCCCCTTTAATGTAAAAAACCAACATGACAATACACACAATGTCGGTTTCGGCAAACTTGCCCCCTAAAAAAAGATTACCTTAAAAAATAAATTAACTTTATTGTGTGTGAATAAATACCACAATATGTGAAATGGACTTTATCAAATGCAAGGATTTAAAATATTGACACTTTTTTAATAAAAATTCGCAGACAATTCTTTATATTTTTAATAACAAAACAAAACAATTCCCTACAGTGTACAGTGTCCACATGTATGTATACTATCCATATTTAAAAATGTGTAAATATTTATTGAAAAAAAGCAAGTAACAAAGATTATTAGGTCAGTACAAAATGCTTTACATAACACGACTGATCTAAAAACAATGAAGATATTAACAGCAATTGTAACGAACAACAAAGTTATAATGATAATTAAATGCAACATTTCTGTGTAACAAAAAGTCCCTTAGATAAAATGTTGAAAATATAATGTCTGATATATACAACTTTAAAATACATTTTCCTGATAAGACTTTCAGCTCCTCATAACGCACCCGACGGAGTATCACAGTTTTGTAGATATGACATAAAAATCCATTTTATCTGGACAGAAATTCAATTGGCTGCGATGTCCTCTTTAAAATGTCTTTGTGGAGATATTATGTTCTGTAAAATCCTTTGGGCTTGGGGCTGAAAGATAGAAAATCACAGGTTTTCCTTTACGTTTTGGAAAGAGATAAAGCTACCATGATGTTAAAATATTAAAGTACAATATGTTAGAGCTGAATGTGAGTGCTTTCAGAAGTGTGTTTTATGGTTGTTATACTTACTGTTTGCATTGGCAGAGTCGACGCCTGAGGTGTCTCATCTTCTGCTAATGTGAACCACAGAGAGAGATCAATTGTTATTAAAGCCGCACTCATAATCCAGTGTGTTAGAACAGAAAGGAGGAGGAGGAAGGGTTTGACTTTACTTGTCTGCGTCGGCAGAGGATGAAGGCGAGGATGAAGACGAGGATTATGATGACGGTGATGCTGCATATGACCACCAGCATCCACACACTCAGCCAGGGCACTGTGCACAGAGACAGAGAGGGGGCAAGCACACACTTTAAACACAGCAGGGGAGGACTCTGTGTTTCCAGTGAGTATGTAGCTTCTTTAAAGGTCACCTATTATGCAAAATGCACTTCTTCATGTCTCTTCTACATCAACATGTGTCCCCTCTTCTTCATGTCTCTTCTACATCAACATGTGTCCCCTCTTCTTCATGTCTTTTCTACATCAATATGTGTCCCCTCTGTGTAAAGAGACTCTGGAAGTTTCAGGAACAAAGATTCTCTCTCTTTTTGTCCTGATCCATTTATATAAAAACCTGTCTGAAAATGAGCTGATCAGATTTTGGCCACTTTATGATGTCATGACGATTTTTTTGGGTTGTGTAACCATTAGCCAATCAGCAACCAGGAAAGTACCACCTCTCTAGCAGGCACTGAAAAGGGGGGTAAAAGTTCTCTGAACTAAGTTCTCTTTTTGGTGTGAACTAAACGGGAAAAGTACGGGTAAAAGTACTCCGGTGTGAAAGCGCCTATTGTGTTCTTTGTAACCAAATCTCTCTCAGAGGGGCGTGGGGAGGGGCTCCTTATTTTCATCTAAAGTAACAGACAGAGAATCAGCACTTTGGAAACAGGGCTGAAACAGAGGGGATTATGGGATGCTGCAATGATCTGTTTGGTGTTTGGAGCCAAACACTTCAGAGACCTGTTTTGTATATATCTGAGACCTATAATATATTGATGAAAAACAGTATAATAGGGGACCTTTAAGAAGATTGCAAGGAACAGTCATTGAAAATGTGCAAATAATTCCAGTTCAAAGGACCATATTATGCATTTTGGGGTTTTCCTTTTCCTGTAGTGTGTTATATAGGTTGCATGTAAATGGTCTGCAAAGGCTAAAATCCCATAGTCAGAGTTGTTCTTCTATGTTTGCATTTCTATGTTGTTTAGCTTGCCACTGACACAGAGCACATCCTGTAAAACCAAGTTAATGTCGGGTTGTGGCCACAAGGTCACGCCCGTGTCTTGCTTCCTGTTTTCTGCTCTCACTTCCTGTACTCACCGATCTCCAGCGTTATCTCAGCCGACGTCAGCTGTATGTTGTTCTGCCACAGCTCACACCTCCACTTTCCTGCGTCTGCTGTGTTCACCTTCGGGATGATGAGAGGAGAGGAGGGCCGGGGGTCGGAGAGGGTCGATTGTTTGGGCGGCAACCATTTCAGATGCAGGTCAGAGGGCAGCGGCTGCTCGAGGCCGCAGGTCAGGTTGAGCTGCTGGCCTGAGATCAGCGCTGTTCCTGTAGAGGAGACGACTGGATGGAGAGACAGAAGGCAGGAGAAAATAATGAAATGCATGAGAACATTTGACAAGCTGAGAAAATCAAAGACTGTTTGCTTCTGTTGCTGCAGAGTGCCAGCGAAACTTGCCAAATTAAGGGGATTTTAAAATGGTTCTTTTTTTCAAATAAGATCAGAAACATAGCAACACATGACGGCGTCTACATCAAAACAGCAATGTACATAGCATTAACAACACATTTAAATAGAGAAAAACAGCATTAGTCATTGTGTATCCTCAAGATTTAAGATGTAAGGCAATTACAGCTGAAATTATGACAAGAAAAAGTATTTGTAGTAAATAATTTGAGATTTCATTAATGATCCAAAACACTTTTTAATTATTTCTCTTGCTTCAACCCTTCAAATGTGAATACTTGCTGGTTTACTTCCAATAAATTAAATTGAATATGTGTTGGCTTCAGACTGATGATCTAAACTACAACAGACACCCCTCACTATCGTACAACTTATGGACTTGAATCAATATTAAAAACCATATTAAGCTGCAGCCCTAAATACAATTATACAGTCACCTTCAAGACATCAATACACTTCATTTCATTTAGTTTTGTGATGTGGGATTCTGATAGATTACTTGTCAACCCTATAGATGTAAAGTTTGATAAAACAAATTACATTTTTAAAGCAAAGATTTTAATACAACTTCAAGCCCTGACACTGAATGCATCACGGCCTGCAATAGTAACTTATAAGCAGTCCAAAATGTCAAAGTGTTGAATTTGTTGACTTCATTTGGCTGGCTTGAATAACATTAATACTTGATTTTATTTAATAAACAGACATTTCATTTTGTTTGGTGAAAGGTTGAATTGATTCCTGGGGGTCCAAGTTGGAGAGAACTCGAACTACTGTAATCAAGAGGGATCTACAAGGTTTTATTTTCATGGTTCTGGTTAAATAATATTCAGATAAAAATGTAAAAATGACACCATACATCTTGAGAACAACAGTATAAAAAGTCAGTCAGGAGGGCCGTAACATTGTCCAGTAAGTTGTCAGGAATCTCATGTTCTAGTCTAGAAAGCTTATACAAGGACAGAGTTTTAAAAATGGCACACGATATGTTGAGTGACCCGAGGCACCTCTCGCCTCTTATTTTGAACTGTTGCCATCCGGGCGGAGATATCGTGGCCCTCTGTTTTAAAAAGAACAGATCTAGGCTGTCTTTTGTCCGACAAGCCATCAAACGCCTTAATCAATGATGGCTAGGACGCACTGTTTACCCAGCTGGTCTGGCACTGTCTGTCTCTCTCGCAAATGAGAGCCTAGGCCCCTTGTCATGTCTGCCGATATCTGTTTTTTTAAATGTTTTAATCTGTGTCTATGTTGTTGTCAGTGACGTATGTTTTATCTTTTTTAAATGCCTTGCGATGTGCTGCAACTCATTTTCCCCTCGGGGACAAATAAACGAATACTACTACTATAATTCATTATTTTGACTTCTATTTGGCTGTACCGTTTCACCAAGTGAACATTTAAACACTCCAAAAGTGTTGTTTGATTTAACCGCTATGTTTTATGAGTTGTCTACTGGTTTTTGAAGAACCAAAATGTTGAGCTTGACAGTTAAACCCACAGTAATTAGGTTAAAACATTATTATAATAAACAATTAAGAGATTTGCAAGATAACCCCCCCTTTCTTGAATACATCTGATGACAAACAGGTGTCTTTTCAATGTTCCTGGTTAAAAAACACAGATACAAATGCTAAATCTTACACGATAAATTCACCATAAGCTTCAATTAAAAACAGTCCCAATTAACATTCCTCCTGTGATCACACTCTTCTGGCTGGAGGAAAAGCTCATTATCCTTAAAACAAGTGGAAGCCACACGTGTATTCGTCACTGAATTAGACCCACACCGGGGACACTTGCAAATAAACTCTGCCGCAGAGAGATGAAAACACTTCAGAGAAGAGAGGACATCTTGTTATGAATTTCAATAAAGAAGGACGTCAAGAAGATAAACAGGGACACAGAAAAAATAAATAATACTATAAATCTTGTGAACAACTGTACATAATTCATTATTGAACATACAAAACACTCCCAAAATGTATTAAGATTAGAAACATGTGTTGTTTGATTTAACCGCTATGTTTTATTAGTTTGTCTACTGGTTTTTGAATAACCAAAATGTTGAGCTTGTCAGTTAAACCCACAGTAATTAGGTTAAAACGTTATTATAATAAAACAATTAAGAGAAGAAAGGACCATAAAAACACTCCCAAAATGTATTAAGATTAGAAAACACGTGTTGTTTAAAGGACATTCTTGTTATGAATTTCAATTAGGAAGGACCAGAAAAAGAAACTGGACGTCAAGAAGATAATAAGGGACACTGGATTTCATTTGACGGATGTGGTCACAGAGTGATTTGTTTAGACTTACTTTGCAGCAGCTTTACGTGCACCCTCCTCTCCAGAGTCACTCCATTTTCAAACCCAGGGCACAAATATATTCTCCTGCGTCTTTCTCTATCCCTTGGTTTCTTTTCAGAGACAGATCTCCTTTCTTCAGGCTTGGTTCCGGGCTGCAGCAGTCCTTTGTTTTGGTCTGGCTTCCAGGTGAGTAGACCCTCCGCAGAGAGGGAGAAAGCCTCTGAGGAACAGAGACTGGTGTGGGGATGAAACTCCAGTGAAGTTCCCTGAAGCCTTTAGCTTTGATTTGTTCCCAGGAGATGTGAGGAAGAAAGGAGCAGGGCACTGTGAGACGACTGGATGTAGACGTTATACTGAGGGGAGACAGCTGGGGAGAGGTCTGAAGAAAGAAGAGAAATAATGGTGAGGTTATTTTTGAAGATCAGAATCAGGGTTAATTAATGGCAAGTTGGTTTACACATAAAAGGAATAGTTTTGGTGGATAATGGTGCATACAATAACAGAGTGAGAGGAAATAGGTTGTAAAATGATACAAATACAATATATATAAAATGGATACAAATGGAAATACGATCAGAGTCTTGCTGCACCTCGGCCAAATAATCTAAAAAACTAAACAAAATAAAACATGTCTCATTTCTGTTTGTTGAACTTAAAACGTTTGGGGTGACCCTAAGCCTTCTTATTCTGAAGTATCACTAACCTATAAGGCTTGGGCTTTCATAGACACCCTTAAACATTGAGTATACAGTAGGAGTACTATCAAATCAGAGTACTGCTGCACTTTGTCCAACAAAAACTAAACAATTTACAATAAAATCCATTTCTGTTTTCTGTTTGAGAACCTAAAAGGATGTGGCTAATATTGAAGCTAATGTTCCTGTATGATTGTCATGTTGACTGAACTTATTGTAAGATGTTTTGAATAAGAGAATCAGCTAAATTAAATGTAATCCAATGTAATGACAAATGAATGGCTCTGGAACACTCTGCCCCTCCATGTGAGGTCGGGCCCCAGACCCCTAGGGGTTTTTAAATCTACACTAAAAACACACTTCTTCTCTCTGGCCTTCTAGTTAGAGCGGAGCACGACTCCTGACTTTTCCTTGTGTTTTATTTTTATTTTTTATATATATCTGTTGTAATTTATTGTCTTTTATTGTGATTGTAGTAATGTGTTTTTATTACATGTACAGCACTTTGGCTCGACCAAAAATCGCTTTTTAAATGTGCTTTATAAATAAAACTTGATTTGATTTGATTGATTTGATTTTGAATGTGAGAACAAGTGTATGCAGTATAGTCAGAATTTTAAAGGGGCCCTATTGAGTTCATTTTCAGGTTTCAGAATATTCAGATTTTAAAAGTGGGAGAGGCTCTGCAGGTAGCTTTGTGAGGAAATCTGCAAAAATGTCCCACAAATCTCAGCATGGAGAAAGGGATGAGACAAAGATGTCACAAGATGTTTGTTATTGTGATTCATTCGTAAGTACAAACTTGTTTACAATCATCTGTGGTGGAGATTCAAATTACATTACTGATAAATGATTCATAAACAAGTTTTGTCTTTTGTTTATGTTGAATAAAGTAATAAAGAAAGTCCAGTTTACAATTTAAATCCATCTCAAATGCAGGAACAGAGCAACTTCACCCTCAGAGGATGAAGAGGTTCTGCACCCTGAACACAGCTCACAGTCACACTTATATACAAGAAAGAAAACAGTCTACTAATCCTACCCCATAAATCCTCTAGACATATCTAAACATTCCCACCATAAACCATAAACCCCCGAGTCCTTAACCATTTGCAAGTCCAACTTTTACGTCAAACCTAAACACATGTCTCTGTTAAACACATATAAGACTAAAAGAACAATTCAACAGAGTGAAAGGCAATCAGAGTATAAGACATAGTATAAATATATATGATTATAAATGACAGCATCCCCTGAAACTCACCCAGAACTGTAACAGAGACGTTGACCTGGCTCTTGCTCTGACCGTCCCGTCACCATGCAGCTCCACGGCCCGTTTGTCCCGCATCGAGGCGCTGAAGGTGAATGGATTTTGGGGGTTTGTCTCTCCTCGGGGGTTCATCCATTGAATCTTTTTTTACCCAGGGGGGGGTCGCAGCACTGCAGGACAGAGTCACCTTTTCCCCCGGCAACACAGGAGAGGAGGGGGTCCACACTCACTGAAGACAGAGTGGACATTATTATAGTTTAAATATACTGTTAAATGATGTTTATACACAAAACATATTTTGTATATTTTACATTTAATTTTCTTGACGTTTTTAGTTGACTTCTAGTGTTTATCATCAAATGATATTCTCCTACCTGTTAGTTTGCGTATTTCATACTCATAGAAGTCCGGCTTGCCACCAGATACCATTACTTTAAGGAAGAAACTCCTGAAGTGTTCCTGCTGGATGTTCTTGATGATCAGGGGAGACCACGACGAGATGTTTTTCCAGGCTTCATCTGCAAGGCAAGAAATAAAAGGTTGTTATTGTTAGAAATGTTTCAATTTGTTACATCGATTGATGGTTAAACGTGAATATAATCCGCAAACATCTCAATGCTATGTTCACCTTGAATTTTCCAATTGCTGTTGCCCATTGGATTTAGCATGGCAAGGTTCTTAGGGGCTATCTTTATCCTTCTTCCCAGTACATATAATGGTGCTTTAATACTTGGCCGGAGGCTTCAGGGTCACCGTGCCCCCGATCTTGAGCATAAACCACCTCCACTGCCCCTGAGAGACAGAGAAATATCGGTTGAATGCACACATGTTATCAGGGAAATCGACTTTAAGTAAGTAAAATCCATCAAAGAGTTCAACATTTTACGTAAACATCACTTCAAGTAAAGGTCCTGGACTTCAAATGTTCTTGAGTTAAAATACAGATGTCAGGAAAATGTACTTTAAGTAAGTTAAAGAAGTAACATTTTTTAGAAAGTACAGTCTAAAAGTACTTCTTTACAAAGGAAAAAAGTAGTTTTAAATGTTTCTTAAGTTAAATACACATGTATAGTCAGGGAAATGTACTTTAATTAAGTAAGTTAAAGAGTTGTGTTAGAAAGTACAGTCTAAAAGTACTTCTTTACAAGAATAGTCCTGAGTTTTTAATGTTTCTTAGGAGAACAGAAGTATTATCAGTAAAAAGCACTCCTTATGCAGAATAAGGAGAATAAGAATGGGTCAATTTTATATTGTTATTGAATATTATTTAATTAAATTAATCTTCCTGTCGTGTTCGGGTTCAAATCTGACAGATTTACTACTTTCATTAATCGTAAATATTCTGTTTTACATTTGTTTGTTTTTGTGTCTAATCTGAAGGTAAGGGGGGAGAAACTAACACGTCAGGTTAATCACTAAAATAATGAAGACACATAATAGTTTTTTTAAATGTTGCAATTGATAAATGGGGGGCAACACCCTGAAGGTTCATATATATGTATATCATATAAACACATGATGTTTGGTTTGGTAAACAAGTGTCAATAGTCTTGGACAATATTTCCCTCTGATGGAGTATACAGTAAAGTGGCAGAAAATGGAAAACTCAAAGGAACAAGTGTCTTCATTTTGTATTTAAGTACACTACTGGAGTTAATGTACTTAATCCAGTGGTAACACTTTATATTAAGTGTTGGGGAATAATTTCCCCTGCATGTCCTCCTTCGCCCTCTGACGCAGCTGACCAACCTTGAGCAGCCGTTATCTCCCTTAAGGAGGGGCTGCCCTAGCATATTGTTGTTGTTACCAGTTTGTGACCGGGCAACTCTCGGTCAGAGATAGTTATTGTTGTGGGACACCTGGAACACATCCTTCTCGAGGTCGTAGATGACCCCGAGCCATAAGCGACAACAACTGTGATTCAGTGTCCCTCAGCTGTTAAGTCTATCTATTGAAGAATGTTGATCATTACACTCTGAACTAGTTAAAACCTCGAGCTACAGGAGGGGTCTTCAGAATTGATTGTGGCATCTCTACCCTGTGGTCAAACCGTGGCCCGTGACATGTCTTGTGAATTCTCCGGCCGAAGCTCTAAATAAACCGTGAGTGTTTGCCATCAAAGCCCCAGCTCTCCCTCGTGTCCTCTCTGAGTCCTGACTCCAATTGCTACAGAAGTTTCCCCCACATTAAGGTACACATATTCACCATCAACTAGTTGTTCATTAACATAGCAGAGTCATTGGTTATGAACAAGACTTCACTTTAAAATAGGGAACATATTCTGAGTTAGAAATACCTCATTTTGGGTTATTTTTTGACACTATTAAAACTTGTAGTTTCATGTCTTGTTACATAAGAATAGATCATATCTGTTAGGTGTTATTATGGGAGAATTACTATTCTTGTGGTACTGCTGCCTTATTAGGCCCATATTGAGCATATTAAGACCAAAACTCATGTACAACAACGTCCTTACTTGCAAATAACTTAGAGGGTTATTTAGGAAAAACGAATGGCCTAGTCCTTGTAGAATATGGTCATGTAGAATAAGGCATTCATAAGTGTTTTATAATGACTAACAAGAGCCAATATACTGCTAATATGCATGTTAATGAACAACTAGTTGATGGTGAATATGTGTACCTTAATATAAAGTGTTACCATTCCAGCACCGCTCAACATCAACCAGTCCCCAAAGAAAACATAATTATCCCCTGGATTTAATTGAATTTAATTCTTACCTGTAGTTGAGGTGAGCACAGCGAGGAGGAGGAGGAGGAGGATGAAGATCTTCATGTCAGTCACACGTCTGAAAAACAGTTCATATACAATATTGAATACTGTATTTATATATGTGATCTGACTTTATTTCTGAGGTTAGAAATTGGAGTTTTGATTTGAGAGGTTTTTCCCATATCGATTGAACTGGTTCTTCAGGAGCTTTAAAACAGCTGTAATAACCTCTGCTTTGTCTCGTTAATATTACATAAAAACGTTTACTCGTGCAAAGTGTAATGCTCCAGACCAGGGGCGGATCTACGGGGGGGGGGGCAGGGGGGGGGCAGCTGCTCCCCCACTGTAGAGCCTTTCCCCCCCAGCTGCCCCCCTAACTTTTGTGTCCCTAAAACTGTACTTGTAGAAACAAACCCACACTATGTCCACAAGCTTCTCAATCAACGAAACAAGGCAGTACATTAATTAAAAGTGAATAATTTTAAACATAATTTTAGGGCCCGTTAAAAACGTAGCTACGGCCCTGCATTAAACTGCGGAGCGGCGTTCACACAGACCGCGCTCACACAGCTGCAGAGAGGGAGCGAGCTGTCCCAGCACCTGAGGTTGGATCAGCTTCCCCTTGGAGGCATTTCCCCTTCCACTAGTTTTGTTTTTTACTAAAGACGAGAGCTTGAAACATAATATTACTAAAACGCTGCTGTTTGAATTGATAGCGTTTAACAGACGGGCGCTGTTTGGGGCGTTACGTTACAAAATACTACGCAGACAGCGCTAGCTGGGAGATCGATCACTTTTATTTGCTAAACTATGCGGTAGGCTACTATTAAATCCACGTAAATTACACATCACAGAAATGAGGCCAGCTAAATTAAACCAGGATACATCCTTTACCGTCAAACTGGGTCTAACACAGCTGCCTGTGTGTCGTTTGATAAATACTTTTTGATTTTATATTTATTATATGCTACTTATCAGCTACATGGCCCTAACGTGTAAAGTTATACACGCAATTTGTACCGGTGCTTTTCACAAGTAGACAGTTGCAGGCCAGAGTAGCTGGAGTGACTCAACAACAACAAAAAGACATATCTGAAGTGATCAGGAACGAACAGAAAGAGGAAAAGAAAAGAGAGTTCACTGAAGACACCAGGAGGGTCAGAGCAGGAGGAAGAGGAGGAGATGAAGATATTAGTGAAGAAGAAGAATGTATGGGAGGAATAAAGATGGAAGTGTCAGAAAGAGGGACAGAGGCAGTGATCAGGAGGCAGATGAGACTCCAGCTGGACCACATGGTATGTTTTTATTCTCCTTGCATACATATTCCATTACAGCAGCACAATCTAGCGGCTCTTAGTATTGACAAATATTGATTTGAAATGTGTTGCTGCACAGGTCACCTTTAGCTCTCTTAAGAGATGGGTGATGTCATTTGTGTACTTAATTATAACTAAGTACTTTTACTGTACTTATAATAAACAGAATTCTAGGGTATCATGAGTATGTTTTGCTGTTTTATACTATATTTGAGTTTGTTTGTCTAAGTGAACACCTTGTTTCTCTTGTGCATTAAGAACACTTGGTGTTAGGGCATGATTTAACAATAATAGGTTTATATACAGTACAAAATACCACGTACTGTCCACCCTCCCATGCCACCCTGGCATGACCTCTTGCCCCCCCTTTGCCACCCCATGTAACATGTTCTAGAACCGCCACTGCTTCCAGACACAATCCAATGTTCAATAAAATCATAACTGGTGGACTCTGACATTTATTCAATGGAAAACTGATCGTAAAAGACTTAACAGGTTTAAGTTATGCACAGGGAAAATAAATCTGTTTAAAAAATCAGAGAAAAGTTTTGAACAAAGTTATCGATTTTTGGGAATTAAATACTTGAAATACAATATTGCCCACAGTATTGAGTATGTTGTTAGTCGCTTTGGATAAAAGCGTCTAACAAGTAACATCTAATGTAGTCCCACAGAGGGGACATTTACATTGTTACAGCAGAAAAGAACCAAAGACAGCTTAATGTCCCCAGAATCAGAATACAAAATGGAGGAGCAGCGTTCAGTTATTATGCTCCAAATATCTGGATCAAACTCCCAGAAACCTGCCGGTCCGCTGCAACTCTGACTACTTTTAAATCCAGGCTGAAGACTTTCTTTTTGCTGCTGCTTCTAGTTGAACTATTCACATCTTAAACTGCACTGTAACCTTTCATTCATGTATGTTTTCTTTTAATGTTTATTTTATTATCTTTGCTTTTTAATGACTGATTTTAAATGCCATTTTCTTACTGTCTTTCATTTTTGTAAAGCACTTGAATTGCCTTGTGTTGAAAGGCTCACAAAAAAACGTGAAATAGCGACGTTGGTCACAGGGCAAAACGTATATTCACAAATAACCCTCTCAAGATGTGACATAGATACAATATTTGTTCCTATTTATTTCTTATGACCAGAGTCCATGTCACGTGATCGCAAACTTTCCCAGTAGGAAAAAAAAACATGGCGGACACCCGATTTATTTTGAGTGGAAAATCCTAAATTGTAGGACAGTTTGGCCGTTAAAATGCTTTTTGATTACATTTCTAGCGAGAAGTATATATTGTACTTTTAAAATCTACGTCCAGTGGATGTGTAGGATCCATAGTTTGATAGATATTACGAAGATTATTTGAGCTCCATGTTTTTCTTTACAAATATTGTGTCACGTCTTGAGAGGGTTATTTGTGAATATATACGTTTTGCCCTGTCGACCAACGTAGCTATTACGTTTTTTTGTGAGACTGTGTTGAAATAAACTTGCCTTGCCTAAGTACTGTAGCATGCATACAAAAACACTATTAAAAATTAAAAAACTATTATAATAAAAAAAGATACACAATTTACACAAGAAAAAACACATCCGTGCTGCAGAGAGAGCAGGAAGCAGCGAGGGGTTTGTGGTGGTCTCAGATTTGGAGAGATTTGAGGAGATAGGAGTCGAGAGTGGGCGGCCTGTGGTGGGTTTTTAGATGAGAGGAGACGCGGAGGCCTTGATTTGAGTGGAGATTGTTATCCCGATCCTCCCCTCTGCCTCCCCCAGCCTCTCTCTTCCTCTCCTGTTCCACGAAAGACGGATCTCTCGTCGCTCGAAGACAGAGAGAAGAGAGACCACAGCTCTGGCAGAAAACTGTGGTTTACAGGTAGATGTTTCTCTCTTCTCTCCCCCTTATCTCCCTCACTTTTTTCTTTCTCTGTTGTGTGTACAGTACAGTGTGCACACAAAGAACTTTTGATGCAGCTTTAATCTTAAATGACTCCGAACAGAACAGATCTGGGGTTATGTATTGCATTGTTATTATTTTGTTAATACTAAAGCACTACTGAAACTATACTTAATATAACCTCTGTTTATTTACCTTCTTATATTTATTATATTCATATTTCTATATACTTTATTTGATCTTTAATGGAGTTCTTATATTTAACTTCTTAGGTTTATATTCATATTTTAATTTAATTAAATTTGAGCTTTTATTGGAAAAATGTTATTTAACTTCTAAGGCTTATATAAACATTTGTATTACCTCTTAAACTATTGAAACAGCGTTGCAGCTTACGTCTGGTTAACCAGGGCTTCATCCTGTGAGATAAAAAAAAAAAAGTGCTTCTTGTAATAATATAATAATCCAAACTCTTAAAGAAAACTATTTCATTTTGCCTTTCTTCACAAAAACTGTGAGATAGAGCTCAAATGTATTTTTAAAAAAAAAAGCTTTCTTCCACTCCTATCAAGTAGGCTTTTGTGACCCCAACTAGGTCCCCTGACCCCATGTTTGGTACCACTGCAGTTAAGGACCCTTGTTTCCTATCATCCCTCATCTCTCAATCGTCACCTAGCTGATAAAAGCTTCAAATGTCCCAAAAACGTTCAAAATCTCAGTTTGTTTTTCTCCATTCGTCACAAACTATCCGCACGTTCCTGTGAAAATGAGTTACAGCGCTCAACACTAAAGTGTCCGGCTGAATATTTCAGATGTAATAAAGTCACAAAGTCCTATTTTTTTGTTGTAAATGTACCAAAACTAATCCCAACACATTGAAAAACACACTGTTATTTCGGTTTAAAATGTTACGATCAAACGCCTCGGGCCTAAAGATAAATCCTGAGGTGAGAAGGAGAAATGTATTGAAGAGTGTTTCCAATGTTTCTCGTTTCACAACATGTGAGAGAGAGAGAGAGAGAGAGATGTGTGAGAGTTCTTCAGAAATAAATCATTGTATTTGCATTATTTATAATAAGTGAGATCAGAGGTGGTGGGAAAGTAAGGCAGAGACACAGAGGGAGATATCGATGATACACAGACACAGTTACAGTGGAGCTGAAACCCAGAAACACAACCAAAACATGTCTGCAGTCAGGAGGGAGATTCAACAACGAGCTGAGGAAGAGGAGGAGGAGGAGGAGGAAGAGGGAGGGTCAAATACTAGGGTGTTGAAGGAGGGAGCAGAGAAAGACAAGAGAAAATAACTAAAGGCAAGATTAAAGTATAATTTATAGACAATTTGTCTAATTTTAAAATTTCAAATCAAATCATAATTTTGCGCTGCATCTGAACTGAATTACATTTTATTTAATTTTACTCCTAAATAGATTTGACATGGTTATTTGTGTGTGCCGCTAAAGGTAGACGTAGCAGATACATAACTGTTTGAGACTAAAAATCAGTCGTAGACGAAATTGTATTTTATTGAAATACATTGAGGTGAGATTGTGATATTCAATTTAAATGAAATACTGCACTATTTTCTACCTTTGAAGTGTGTAAACTGTGTGTATCGCGGTAGTCAATTTGTTTCTGCCGATGCTTTCATACTTCCAACAGAAGACAAGAAAAAGGAAATACTTAATAATTAAAAACTCTAAAATGACATAAGATGTAAATTTAAAATATTGTTTTTCTTAATTTTTATGACGTTTGTTGTGAAAAGTTCTCATTTCAAATCATTCAAAACTTCTTTCAGTTTTACTTAATACTCTAAACTGTATTAAATTATGGAACCGTGCGTTTAAGTACAACACATTGACGCTGTGAATATGAAATAAAGTAAACAAATTAAGTTTGACCTTTCGGCCTCGATAAGCCAGATCAAGTCATATCATTCAAAATGAATATTAGGTAACAGAACAACATGAATACTGACATTTGTTATATATGTATATTTTATAAAGTATATGCATTAATAATTTAAACTCAAACAGACTACAGCATACGTACATGTGTTGTTGAGTCCCTCTGTGTTCAGTGATCTGGAGTCGGTGGAAATGGTGAAAAGGTATCAAAGAGAATTTGTTTTTAAGAGCCGTCGCCCCGCCCTCGTCAGCGATTGGTCTGAAAGAAAAGCAGACAGTCGTCGATCAAACACAGAATCAGAATAATGACCTCTGATTGGTTCTTAGGGAGGAAGAAGATAAGATCTAATCCATTTTTTCCTATCCTTTACGAATATGTTGAAGATAACAACAAAATACGTTTGGCAGTGTAATGCTTCTATATTTTAATCAGTACATTAAAAAGTTTTTCTTCGTAACGTTTTAATTAATGCGACAGAAAACAAACAACGTGTCTTAATTGGCTAGAATTGTAATTTAAGTGGCCGTCTGATTGGTGAAAGGTCTCCGCGGACTCGTTATCTATCTTCAGCACATTTTAAATAGCACCTAATTTATAATAATTGCTCGGATAATTTTCCCCATGTCATTTAATTGTGCTGATTTAGATCCATAATCAGAATTCAACCCATAACCTGCTGCTCCAATCTGCACATAGACAGAGGTTAAAAGCAAATTAAGAATATTACATTACTTTAAAACATAAAGAGGTGAGGGAAAATAAAAAGGTTACGGTGAAATCAATATTTATCTAATCGTAAAAAACATTATTTGATCTCCTCTGTAAGGTAAGCTTGTTTCAACTCCAACACGTTTATCTGTGTTCATTTTACACCCCGACCTACCGTTCCTCTTCACTTCAATTTTATAAAAAAAGCATCTTAACTAGCTTTAGCAATAATTAAATCTGGCACCGAGGGTTCAAGTCCTACCCGTGGTCTCTAGCTGCATGTCTCGCACCTTTTTCTGTCTATCTTTGGATGTACTATATGAAATATCTATCAAAAAATCTACGATAAAGTCTTTCAATAACTTCTGTGAACACTGGGAGCTTTGCGCATCAAAGCAGTATTTAGTATTTAAATGCATGTAAAAGTTGTACAAAGTCTACAGGGTGATTTTTCTCCCATCTGACATGAAGTTAGCCGTATAAAATGTGTCAAAAACTGCTCTTGCGTACGTAATAATACTGAATATCAACCAATCAAACACACATACACAGTAAAATCCGGAGTGTTAATTTAACGCTCTGAGATAAGGACCATATGTTCACTGGCAGTGTTCAAATTGACTCTTTAAGTGTTAAATTAACACTTAAAGAGTCAATTTTAACACTGAGAGCCAGTGAACATATGGTCCTATCTCAGAGTGTTAAATTAACACTCCGGATTTTACTGTGTACCATCAAAAAAGTCCTCAATTGACTTCTTAAATCCCCTTTGAGCTACTCTAAAATGATGACATGTGTATTTTCTATCACCTGATAACTTGTATATTCTGTTTCTTTTTGATAAAGCGCTCCATTGATTCTATATTTAAGAATTCAAGGATATTGTATTGTCATTATGCAACACAACGGCCTGCAGTTGTAGCTTAGTGCAGACATGAAACAAATGACAAAACAGAACACAAACAGAATGAATGCAGTTCAATTCCTGAAGTGCATTGTTAAATTGACTGGAGGAAAGTGAATGAAGAAAACATTGGTGGATTATATAATAGATAACGGACGGCATGTTTGACATCAGGGACCTGGCATTGAGTCAAATGCAGCTCCAAACTTGTTCTGCATTATTCTAGACACAAATATTTCCTTTTATCCAGAAAGCCATATTTGAAACCGTTATTTCAATATTTTGACTGAGATTTTAAGTTAAGGATTTTTGGGGTTTTGAACATATTTGACATGTCAAACAAAGCGTGAGGCTGGAAGAAATTCGCACTAAATGTTTCCTTCTTATCTGATTCTGTTCCCATTAACGACATATCCAGTAAGTCAATGACAAACCTTACAAAAAAGCAACATAGACATTAATGCGACAGAAATAGGTATCTAAAAATATCTAAATAGTAAAAAAATAAGTGAATAACTAACAGGTCAAATGTGACTGCACAATGAATACTTGTACTTTTGATATTTTAAGTACATTTAACGGATATTACTTAAGGTTTTTGTTGCCGTACTTTTACTAAAATAACTGATCTGAATGCTTCTTCCAACATGTTCTGTCCATTTCACACTGTTAACAATCAACTAAAGGAAAACAAATAATGTCATATTTGTAATACTTGTGCAGATACACTTACATTTTCCCACTTAACGAGTACTTTTACTTTTGATATTTTAAGTAAATCTGCCTAAACTACTTTTTCTTATCACGCTTTGCTGAGCGAAACAGACTAGAGGTGGCTCTTCCCGCTTCATTCCCTATACAACTGATCAAAATCAACGGAGATTATTAGAGCAGCTGCCCGAGTGCACGTTAAATGCATCATGAACTTATTAACTTTTTTCTTATCTGTGTTTTTGTAACGGCTACACAGTTCATTTTGAAGTGTAAAAGCCCACTATCTTGTTCAAAATCAGTGTTTCATTCCACATTTCACTGAGTATTTTATTGAATATATATATATATATATATATGCCGTTAATAACTGTGCAATATATACCTGGCTGCTACAGTAAGGTTCAAGGTTCTTTATTGTCAATCTGACATAGCTACAGAGTAATTATGCAGTTGAAAATCTTATGTCACAGGCTTCTCCAACAATGCAACATAATAACATAATAACAATAAGAGCAAGAGCAATACAAAAAGAAAAATAGTTATAAAATAAAGTGATGATGTGGAATAGTGCAGTACGAGTCTATATACAAGTTATTGGAATGATATATATATATTAGGTATTAGATACATATTATTGAGTAGCTGAAGAATGTTTTGAAGTTGTTTCAACAGTTCCATTTTTTAACAGTCTCACTGGAAGCAACTGTCTCCGTAAATCCTCAGAACTGTTACATGATGTGTATTTTGTAAATTGTGTAACTTCAATACTTTTTAATGCATGTTTCTGAGGTAACATCAAGCTGTCTTTGGCTCTTTTCTGTGGTAACAATGTACATTTCCCCTCTGGGGACTAATAAAGGTATTCTGATTCTGAGTAAAATCAATTGTCAGTCATCCAGAGTACATTTCAGATGACGCTCGGCATGATAAGCAGTTCTTGTAATATTTTGTGGTGATTGTACACCTGTGCAGGAACATCTGCTGGTGTTTTATCTCCGCTGATAACCTGCTGAGTCTCGCCCGCACTCAATTTCCCCGTAATAAAACATCTGTGGCTCTCTGGGTGTGTGTGTGTGTGTGTGTGTGTGTGTGTGTGTGTGCGTTGTTCAGCTCATTATGGAAGTAATACACACACACCTGTAAATAAAGCTTCTGTCGCAATATCGCCTCACGACTGCACTGATGTGGATTTATTGCAGGAGGTAAATCTTGAGAGGAGAAATCTCTTAATAACATTCATTTGAATCCATCGCAAGGTTTTTATAAACATGCTGGAGTGGGAATGAACCTGGAAGAGCCACATTTAGTCTGTTTCGCTCAGCAAAGCGTGATAAGAAAAAGTAGTTTAGGCAGATTTACTTAAAATATCAAAAGTAAAAGTACTCGTTAAGTGGGAAAATGTAAGTGTATCTGCACAAGTGATACAAATATGACATTATTTGTTTTCCTATAGTTGATTGGTACAGTGTAAAATGGACAGAACATGTTGGAAGAAGCATTCAGATCGGTTATTTTAGTAAAAGTACGGCAACAAAAAACCTTAGTAATATCCGTTAAATGTACTTAAAATATCAAAAGTACAAGCATTCATTATGCAGTCACATTTGACCTGTTAGTTATTCACTTATTTGTTACTATTTAGATAGTTTTAGATACGTGAAACTGTCGCATTAATGTCTATTTTTACTGCTTTACAAATGTAAGGTTTGGCCTTGTCCTTTATACTGTTCACTGATTATCTCAACAGATTCCACATAACGCTATTATGAAGTTTAAATAAATATCAACTTAATATTACTGCTTTCATCTAACCTAATACAGTTCAGTGACATTTGTTGACATAATACATTAATGAAAGTTAACGTATCAGTTATTTCAGTGAATGGTTACTGTTGTCTAGTTTCATGTACAGGAAATGCATTTAAGATCATCAGAAGCATTATCGTTGTCTTGTGAGAACCTGTCTCTAAAAGTCATATTTCCACGAGTGTCTCTCCCTGTTTACAGCGTTGTGATAATTTCCATCTGTTTCCAGACGTTTAACAGCTTAAAAATGTGTTCAATTATACCTAAACCACAAAATAAAGTGAGCAAATTGAGGCTCTTTTGTTTAATTTCAGGCTCCAGTGGGTCAGAAGTCAGAGAACGAAACAGATAGCTTGAAGTTGAAGATTAAGAGATATTATGTTGTCTTCTACCACGCTGAAACATGAGTTTTTACGCATGGCTACAACATATGAATTCATTTTGATGTGATAGGCGTTTACTGACAGCTTCAGGGATCATTAAGGGAGAACACTACAGCGCTGCGGTGGTTTAGAAACAGGAACCACAACAAGACAAAACAAACATCTCGCTCTCGTCTCATGTGTCGCTCTGAGGTTAGTGTTCCTGCCTCTGAACATGAAGAACTCACACCTGCTCCTCTCAGCTCCAACGAAACAACACTTTTGTTGGCGTCTTTGTAAAATAAAAGTGACTGTAAGGTCGTCACACGGACACGATTTCTTTTTCAGGGGCCTAAATGTGAATACGCTTTAACTTAAAGGTCTCCTATTATACTGTTTTTCATCAATATATTACAGGTCTCAGATATACACAAAACATAGTCTCTGATGATTGGCTGAAACACCAAACAGATCATTGCAGCATCCCATAATCCCCTCTGTTTCAGCCCTGTTTCAAAGTGCTGATTCTCTGGTCTGTTACATTCAGATGAAAATAAGGAGCCCCCTCCCCACGCCCCTCTGAGAGAGATTTGGTTCAAAAGAACACAATGGTGCTCTAGGAGGAGATTCAGGTGATAAGGTGGGGGGGGGGGGGGGGTTACCTTGGTTGGTGAATTGGCTAATGGTTACACAAGCCAAACATCGTTTATGACATCATAAAGTGGCCAAAATCTGATCAGCTCATATTTCAGACAGGTTTTATA